CTACGTAACAGGTTTTCCCCTAAACCAGATGCACAACAGACACCTCACAGTCCTGTGTAGGACCAGCTCACCCTATAAATTCTGAGCAGTTGCCACATTGTGATATTTGGACTTGGAAGCATCTAATATTGCTCCCGTGTCAGATAGCTATTATCTATTATTTTAGGAACACAAGGAGTATCTAAAAAGCTGAGAGAAAAGAAGACTAAGATGAGCATATGCAGAATATGATCCAGGATAGTACTGCTGAGGCCCTTACACCTTGTGGATGCTTATTCTGGGACCAGAGAAAAGCTCTGCAAATCTGGGATTCCCAGACTGCATCAATTGCTGACAGAAGCCTCCTTCTCTCTACTTGAGCCAAGGCATGGCATTTATATACAATTCTTCTCTGTGCAAAAATCCCAGCTGGCCACCGTGTCAAGTGCATCATCATCTCTGCAGACTGGGTATAGAGAATAACATGAAACTGCAATTTCCAGAATCTGTTCTGCCTAAAAAGCTAACTGATCGTGGTGTTCTGCATAGCCTCCGCAATGTGGGGGCTCTGCATTGGGCTAGGTGAACTCTCTGAGGATCTCAGAAGCAAGAACCTTTTGGCTGCTGGGAACTTTTAAAAGGAAAAATCTCTAACTTCCTGACCTTGGTGGGCAGGAACTCTAGGGTGACCATGTGGGTTATCTCCTGTATCTTCCATACAGCGCTGGCATCTCTTGCCAAGATTTTGTCCTCAGAGGAATAGGAAGTGACTTGCCTCGTGACCAGCTGGAAGCTGATGGCTTTGATTAGTTTCTAAACCACTTTTAAATCCTTTGCTTGTGCAGTGTTGTACCGAGTCATGGTGGTGAGCTTCTGCTGCCACTGCCTTGGAATACTCTTATGTGCATCCCCGTAACAGACTTCCAGTGTGAGCTGCTACAAGTTTACCACATGGTGCAATGCCAATCGCAGAAGTCAGAAGAAGGTAGTTTGCAAAACCAACAGAGCATATTTGCAAAAAGGTACATAGGTGAGAAGTCAGGATGATGACCACTGACACATTCATGTGTCGAGGAAGGCATGCTAGGATATAAACAGGGAAATAGCATCTGGAGCTGTAAAGACCAGACAAGTAAAGGCCAGGTTGTGAGACAGTTCAAAACATCATGGAATACAGTTGGTGAACCAATACATTAGCCTGGAATGAGAAGGCGTGTATACAAATCTTTCCCTAAAGTTGTGGGACTTAACTAAAACAAAAACTAAAATGCCCTTGTTGACATTAGATTTACACTGCATAGGGCTTTATCATGTGGATGTAATTTCACTGAATTGTGACAAATAGCTTTAGTCTGGAAACTGAGTTTATTCGCATAGTCAAGCTTGTTCATTTTTACATACCAGATTACTTAAATATGGTATATTTCAAAATGTGTATTTCAAAGTAGCTTGTATCAGCAATGGCCAGAAGTCAGCAGAGAGGCAGGCAGGCTTTTTCTACTGCACTGATATGTCATGAAGCTTGCATTGTTGATACTTGTGTTCTTCTCTCATTAGAAATTAGTAGTAAAGCATCATTTTTATACTACAAGGAAGGGCTCTATCCTGACCTCACTGAAGGACCAAAAGTTATTTTTATTTTCATAATTGCATTTAACTTTCACAGAATAGCTAGAATGAATCAGAATGATGCAGGTTCTTCTGGATCTTGCTCAGCACTGAACAGAAACACGGATGAAGATGTAAAAAAATGACTGCAAATAGGTTTTCAGACAGAGTTGAAAATCTACCATGAAAATTAAAAGGTGGGTTTACAACAGGATCATTGTATGCACTTCTGCTGAAACCGTCTTGCAGGTTGATGCATGTTTGATGTGTCATTACTCCTGCAGGCAGAATACTCCTAGTAGTTGGCAATTGACTACTAAGGAGAAAAAACCTTTGATATGGAAGGATCTGTGCCATTTTTCCATCTGTACTGACATTTGTGGTGCTTCACAAATAATGATAATAAAAATATATTTCAGGAAACTTCATAAAAAATACACAAACAGGATACTTTCCTTCCTGTACACAGAGTCAACAGATGTGTTGTGACTCGTAAGCTTTCAAAGCAGGATTCAAATGGGGCTTAAATGATGTATAGGCTTTGCACTGTCCTTTGCCCAGGAGTGAGCACCATAAACAGTCTGGAGGTATCTGAGTGAACGGTTTGCACTTAGTGAAACTATTGATGCTGCTTCTGTTTGTGTTTACTAATATGATTCAAAAGCACCATCAGATCTAGAAACAACTATTTGTTTACCATATTCAGGTGTGATCTAACACGAAGAAATAGAGGGGAGATGAAGAAAGGTATCTGTTTTTATTAGTTTCTAAAAACCCTCATGGTATGTGGTAGAAATGGGAGACAAGATTACAGTGGCGTCTTTGCTACCCAAAATGTTAATGTCAGAGTCATGAGTAATCAAATGGCTATAGTAATTATCTGTTTCCTGTATTTGTATTGCTTGAAATGTATTTGTAATGCTTCTGTTGCCACAGGATTTGTGAACATTTGGTTTAGGAACTGCTCCTACACATTCTGTACGTGCAAATAGGCCTTACTAGTATGCGTCATTCCACCGATTTCAGCAGAACTGTGGCAGAGAGGGGCAGGTTTATGGAGCATGGTGGGGATTTATGCAAGATGCTTGAGCTAGTACAGGTACTGTGCTGATGTGTATTATGTCCTTTTGCTGTTGCTAACATGCCTTGCTTTTTGTCACTGCGAAGCAGCTTCACCAGTGTGTAGTATTATCTGGACTGTACTGTTTCTAGTATCCAACTTCTTCTCAAGGCTAGTGTATGGCTTGCTTTGGGGCATTGCATTCTGCCATAAAACCACAGTCACAGATTAAAGGAGTCTGATGCAGGCAGGAGACAGAAAAGGAGGCTGGAATCGACTAGCCCAAGTCAATGCCAGCTTCTTGGCACGGGCTCAAGTCTGCACATACTAACTGCTGAATGATCAAAGAAAATGGGTATTTGATTTTAAGAACAATGGGCCTTCTACTTGTTGATATATGTCTGTGTGTGCTTAGCATGTACCACATACCTACTGATAGAAACAATGTGATAAAGTGAGGATTCATGCAATTAAAATCCCAGTCCCTCGGTGGTGCTGCTGACTGACTTCATTTCCCTGGTAAGAACCCTAAGTAGATCTTTTAGGAAGCCTTCCATGCCAAACATTGTGTCGTGCTTAATCCTGTATTTGTCCTTTATGTGGTACTCCCTTTGACGTCAGTGGAAACTTGACATATGAGACTGCAGAGGAATCGGGCTGAATTGATTTTTCTTTTTTTATAGTAAGATAAAATGGAAGGAAGCCTTCTGAAATGTACAGAAATCTTACTCCTTCCTGCAACATACAGGGATATTTTCTACTTTATTCTTCAAGGATTCTTACCCATATGGATTTGTGTATGTGTGTTTACGAGAGACTGTCAATACACTTGGACAGCACAATTGGCAGATTTGAAAGTGATTGCTGGAAAGTATCTATAATGAGCAAAAGAGGAGTTCCTAATAAATTTCTAACATGTGCTTTTCCATTTGCTGTTCTACATTGCATACAGCACAGCCACTTCCAAATAACTTCTGTGTATATGGTTTTGCCTTCACACTTCCATTTTGTGGTTGCTAAACCATCCTGAGTAGAGGCATGCAAACGTGAGAGGACACACGCTGTGTTAATCAGTAATAAGCTTTAAATATTTTCTGCTTATACTCGAAGGGGTCTGAGAAATGCCTTTAATTTCTATAAGCAATTTCCCAGCTGGTTCCTTTTGCTATTAGCAACAGTAACCACATTGTACGAATGGACTTTTCTCCCCTCTCTTAACAAATAAAAACAAATGACACACATTTTGCAACGCTGAATGTAAATGATGGAGTCATTCTGCTGTTGTTCTTCTAGATTTACAATGACCTCACTGACAGCAGAATTTAGACCCCGTGGTTGAATGGCAACAGAGTAAAATTAAAGCCACATTTGAATTAGCTGTCTTAATAAGAACACGGGACAAACCGATATTACAGTTACAGCGTCATTCCCATACCAAAAACTGCCGGGAGCAAGAGGACACTTCAGAAAGGATCCTCCGCAAACCCACTTGGGTACGAGCTGCTTCGCGGGGACAGCGAGCCCCGCTGCAGCGCAGGGACCGGGAGAGCCGGCCCACGGCCGAACGAAGGGCAGCCTTTCGTAAAAGGGCTGCCCAGGTCTCATCCCTCCTGTCCTGCGGTAAAACACCGGAGTGTTGAGCAATATAAAGATATCTAAAATATGTATTGCTCAATTCTATTCTCGCAAGCCCATCCTCGGGAGTGGCAGCTGAACCGCTCTCACGGCAAGCACGTATTTCCTAAATGCTGAGAAGTGAATACAAGCACAGCTCTACCTGCCGCCTTCTCCGAAAGTGACTGGGGAAAACACACTATCGACTAATAAGCAACACCGTCCTCATTCTGCCGAAGCGTGACCATAGCTCCCCTCGGCTAAGTGCGCGGGTCTCCGCCTCCACATCCCCGTCAATCCCTTCCAAAACCCGGCACTTACGAAAAACCCCTCGCGGCGCGGCAGGATGCAGCCTCGCCCTCCCCCCCCGTCCCCGTGCGTGCTCGGCCCCCCCC